GAAAAAATGTTGTGAGCTATTTTCTCGTCTGTATTGCAACCTCTACAGGGACGTGTTTTGTGCTTATTTAATTAATAGTGTCCAGAAGGTATGCCTACGAGCAAGCGCAGGTATTTCCTTGATAATCCTGTACAAAATCGCGTCAAACGGTGAATTGCTTCTGTGATGATCAAGTCCCATTTGACCTTGGTATGGAGTTATGAGTGGATACAGCAAGCTGGAGAACCGGCATTGGCCTACCGGATGGTTGCTTTCAGGTCATGCTAGTTTTAGACAGCGCCTTCTGTATTTCTTAAAATTTTAATTCATGTTAGGAAGAGTAGATTCATCCCTTTAGCTCCCCACTCACCATGGTGCCCCAGTAGGGGACGTGTGTATAAATACACGCCAAGGATATAGCTCACAAAAGTGACAGCTAGCCTAGTTTCGCATTGAGTAAGGAGAACCAACCAAAGAGCTGTAACTTTTGATCTAGTAGCCCAATCTTCAAACTGTTTGAAATTGTGGATTCTACAGACCACAGTCTATAAGAAAATGTTTTTTTAGGCTATCATCACAAAAACGTTGATTTTATGCTCGCTTTTGCGGCCATAAAGTTTCACTTTATTGTACGCTTCTGTCAAGCTTTACTTTATTGTACACATCTGTCAAACTGTACTTATTTGAAACTGATGTGTGAGAAACAGTAATCTGTTTGATACAAAGCGTCTATCTGGTCTAGCCCCATCAAGGATTGGGCCATCCAGGTGCGTTTTTTTTCATTTTCGGACTTATAGGAATGTTTCGCATTATTTTGCATAATCACAATGTTCACATTTAAAATTATAGTTTGACGTTTCAATCTTTGCTGCTTGCAGACCATTTTGAAGTCTAGAACCAAAACATGAGGAAGATGTTATTGCTTACATTATTATACGAAGAATCACCAGCAATTAACCGAGAACACAAGTAGCTACCTATACCTACCATCAAAGTAGGTAATCAGGTTTCTAATATTGTACAGGATGTTAACTATAAGGTTTTGGAAGCCACAGTTACGAAGCACGTATTGCATTTGACATTATTAAAATCTTGTGCAACGGAGGAAGTTGCGATTGTACTTTTACTCTCAAACGCCTGCTCTTATATCATATATGACTTAGGGTCGCAACGCTTGCAGCTTCCAGAATTTCATTTGGGGTATCTGAACTGTCGCTACCCATTTTGATACGCACAAAGCACACGCAAAGATGCTAATTATAATTACATACCACAGGAAATGCTTTGTTTTTAATTGTCTAAGATAACTATGATTTTCAGAACAAATATGTTTATGAGCAAATTTTTGAATTCTTTTTTGATGATTTCCCCATTTCAACAGAAAATTCAAAGGGCTGTAAGTAAAATGTTACTACTAGAAGAAATCTTGTAGGAGCTAAAAAAATCAGCTAAAACATCAAATTCTAGGTGTATTTACCTCAAATATAGAAAAAAACTAACAAAAACTCATATCCCACAAGCAAAAAATGACTTAAAAACATTAATTTACTACTAAGACAAAATCTTGTGGGAGCTAAGAAAATCACCTAAAACTATAAAAAAATAGCCTAAAATAATAACAAATCTAAGCCCATTACCTCAAAAAACGCATAAAAACTAGGAAAAAACCAATCACTTAAAATCATCAAACATCATGATACATCAACCTGAAAAAAAAACGAATTCCCCACACGCAATATTTTTCATTTTTCCATATAATTAATTCTATCAATAATGCGGTACATAAAATGTTAAAATCGACAAGGTCAGTAAGATTAAGGCTGCGAAGCTCATAGACGTGTGTTAAAGAGGTGTGTGGGCGCCATTTTTCGCTAGCCTTTAACATTAGCTCAATACGAATTTCGGCAAGATGATATGATAAATATTTATAAAAATGCCGTTATAAAATGGATTACAGTAACAAAAGCTTAAAAATGATCATTAATGTATTAAATAAAGCAATAATTCATAAATTAGCTATAGACTAAATAAATTTAACAATTCCAATATAATAAGGTACAGCACTGTATACTTCTTAATGCCAGTAGCTGGCTATATTGCTAAATGCAGTAAATTCAACATCGAAACAGCAGCAAAGTATTAAACAGTAGTACCTTTGTTGTAGCTTATATATCATATTCGTCTATAATATTCAGTAGATCAAGAGGAAGAGAGCTTGCCATTAGGCTATACTTTTAATGCCATAGCTGGCTATATTGCTAAATGCAGGAAATTCAAAATTGAAACAGCAGCAAAATATTAAATAATAATATTACGTAGCTTAAGTTATACCGGATATTGTATATTATATAATATTCATTAGATTCATTAGAGAACACAATATCATATAGCGGCTGGGAAACCGAGACTATTAGAGAGCTTGCCAATGTATTGCCATTCAACCCCTCCTCCCCTTATTTTTAGAGAGTAACACATTATTGTAAAATAAGGATTTATATAATATACTAATTAAAGACTCAAAATAAAACTTAAAAACGTTTGCAAATACAGTACTTTATTTAAACTTTCTCTAATCAGATTGTAGCTACATGATGTAACATTAAGCCTATTCATATTTTATTACAGTACGGTAACTAACAAAAGCAAAGACAATCATGTATCAGCCAACTTGTCAAGTTTATTCTTGGTGTAGTCGAGATTATATATCCCAGTTTTAAAGCGGTCTGCAGCTAAGGTTGTTCATTCGATATCATAGGCTATCCAATACCACTGGTGCATTAGCTCCAATGTCCATACGTATAGGTCAGGTAGGCTACCTGTTGCTTACAGGTACTGTACTCATAGAATCCTGAAATTCATAACAGGGCATAGCTTATTAGATGTTATTTGTTGTATCTAGCTTTGACTGGCTATAGTTATAACCAAAGATGGATTAGAAAAGATACGTAGGTATCTTCCTATACAGGGTGGTGACTTGCGTCACGCATCATAGGGATTTCAATGTAAAATTCATAACATGCGATTATTGGCTCCCCAAATTATTTTAGAGCAAAAATGTATTAAGGTATTTTGTACAAAAAAATTTTTTACGTCAATCAACTGCATTAGTTTTCAATTTTTTACATAATAAAGACGGAAAATTGGAAAAATAAAATCCGCATCTTTTTCAATAATCTGCGATGCCATGGAATTTTCTAAAACAAAAAGATATCCAGTTGTCAATTAGCAGCAGTTCGAAATGGATTTTATGATCGACTTGGTTGCTGTCTTGCAGTTAATGGGGACTTATTCGAACATTTATTGTAAATTGTTATATTAGGAAACCGTTTCTAGTAATTTGTTCTTTCTTTATGTCGAATTCGCTGTTCTAAATATAATACTTGTAGTGTACTTAACCCCCAGGTTCTACGCTAATCTCACACTACAAGAACACGGAAATAAAATAAACCCGGCAACGTTTAAAAATGGCCACCCGAATGACTATTCCCTCTAAAACTAAACAAGTACCCGCTTAAATTTGAAAAGTGGCACGTGATAAAACATCTAAGGCAGGGCCCCCTTACGTTAGTTATAGATAACGCTTTGACCTGAAGCACAGTAGGGAAGGAACGTTAAATAAAACACTGAAATTGTGAGAAGTTTGTTTAATAATGATCGTAATTATTATGATTGTGAAAACCCGGAAATTTAGGTGATGTACATTAATATAAACAAAACAAACAAAGCCAAAAGGTGTCGTACTCTCGCAAAAGTCACTGCCAAGGATAAAAAGAGTACGACGTAAGAAAAACCTTGCAGTTTGATTAAAACAATCCAAAAGTTAATTAACAAAATATTTTGTAAAAGTTTTAGCAGTAGTTAACAAAGATAGTAAATGCATATACACAATGTTGGTTACACTCAAGGTTAAAGCAAGTTTTTGGGGACAATGGGTCAGGTAGAGCAGGTACCAAGATTCTGAGAAAGGGTGAAATACACAGGATGTGACTCATCTTTGGTGCAATAAAGTCCTTTTGTTGAAAGCAAGATGGAAAACTACATGGCCTTGTAGGCAAATTTGACTAAAAACAAAATATGTGGAAATTATTGAATCGCCACTCATTTATCACACATAGATTCTAAACTGAAGAGCTTTGATTAGCGTAATCTCGCTCCTGCAAGATGGGTAGTCCGCCCCTGATTTCGGGGTTTCGAACCTACAGTTGGATGTCGAAGACAGTGCACGGAATTAGGTGCCCTAACACATAATTATAGACTACAGTTTCTTTTTCCACCTCCCGGACTGCTTCATTCACGGAGAAAATTGTTAGTAACAAACAACAAGTCAGTACATACATCAAACGAATCAGCAATTTCCACATATTAAAATAAAATGAAAACTTACATGAATGTAACTTCAGGGACAAGACCAAGTAACCAACATCAATAAACATAAATTAAGCAAACATTACACCAAAAATGTAAACAATTAAAAACAATAGCATAACGGTATCACACATATGATTGCATTGCGGTTAAACCAAGTAAATTTCAAAAACAAATATTGAAACACACAAAAAATATAAAATGCGGCAAACAAAACACAAATACGATATAAAGAAATGCAAAAATTACTACCTGCATTAAATAACACAAAATAACAACAAACATTTATGGAGCGCAACGTTCACCACCGCCATTCAAGACAAGATGCCAAACGCAACTCCCGTTCGTGCTTTCTAGGTGGCGCAGGCAGCTTTTTTTCCCACCTAGAAATTGCATGGTTGCCAACTCTCAAAAATGTGTGTATCGTCGTAAACTGTATATACAGGGTGGAACCTCTCAGACGCCCCTTTGGAAAAGGATCGGGTGGGCTACTCCACACGTGAGTTTTTCAACATCCATCGCTTAGGTTGGAATACTCTCGACGTTACCATAGACTGACAGCAATACGAGTGGCGGCTCCATACATATGACAAAACAGAACAAGTATTAGTATACAAAGAAAAGTATGTATCAGAGACACATCCATCATTTATCACAACACAAAGTAAAGGTATGGTAAACACAAGAGATCTATGAACTACCACAGAGTACATTTGATCTACACTACCAGTACCTTAACCCTACTTTTTCAAGATGGCTAATTCCACTTTTACAATTATAAGTAATCAATGTTCTACCTTCTAAAAATCTACTGCAAAGCCGGCAACTAAACGAGCTATACTTTCGTGCAGCATTATACTTAACACTTCAAATTGCAATACTGCAGCTAAACCTCGGAGCTAATGTCACAGATACCAGTAAGTAACCAATGTAACAGGGACAAAGGTTTGAAACAGGTAAGGGACAGCGACATGTGATGGACTTCATTGATATCTTTTAAAAGTAACAGGAACTGGGTGTCGACCGAGGTGTCGACAAAGAAAAAGGGCAACATAAACACCTGGCAGTGTGTTTGTAGTGAGACCACTAACAGCTATAAATCAATCCCGTAGATTCTCCCTAAAAGTTACCAATTCTGCTTCGCCCCTATAATGGACAATCACATTCTTCAAGAATGAGAGAAACTGTAAGAGTAAGGGAACGTAAAATACCGTCGCACTGAAAAAACAAAAAAAAAACAAGTCGTCTAGTAAATCACGTTGTAAAATGGCAACTGTCTCCCGATCCTACGAAGATAATGGAAGACACCAACACCGAACGTAACCTCCAATGGAAACAGCGACACACGACCGCGTCACTTGTATATTCACGAGTTAAATATGCGAAACAGGAGGAACAAGATGTCAACTGCCATGCAAAAGCAGAGTCCATATCACAGCAACTCGCCCCCGCTGTCCACATAACAAAAACCTATAAAACAAAAATCAAATTGCAAGAGAACTTCCACAGCAGAGACTCCACATCCATCCCTCATCAGCACACTCCCCTTAGAATCCGTTGGGCAGAACTGAAGAATGGGACACAAAGTGTCAAGGTAGACACGGCCCCCTCCTTCTATAGATGTTACAAAAGCAGTAAAATGAAAATCGAAGCTGTAAGCTGATTCTTTGAAAAACAACTGCATTAGTCGGCTCTCACTGGCATCCTCGATGTCTAAACTGTCCGTTAGGATGTGTGCATCGGAGTCGAAAAACCTGCAAGCGAGCTACAAAAATAAAACCAAGTGCAACTGTACTGGAATGAACTCTCGCAACACGCCCCTGCAATCCTCATCCGAAATCAACCAACTGAAATGCAAACAGGTCCCAAACTTGTCTCTAATGACGCCACCTAAAACCTGTTGTCCTTATAAATCCCTCGGAAGCCCCCTCTATAAAACCTTGTGACATGTAACTGCACCAAATGCTGGAATCAATGCAGCAAAACCTGTGCAAAAATTCCCCGTATTGTTGATCTAATGGGCCCGCAACATCGAGACTTGCTCCGTGAGTCAACAACAATAAATGCCACTTGAAAACAGTAAAATAAACTTCCATTCTCCTGGGTGCTGAAGTCGCTGAGGTCACTGGCACTTAAAGAAAATCGCCCCTAAAAGTGTCATGAGGGTCCTCTCGCCACCATTCACCTTTCTATGAATCAAAACCCTGGAACACTTCTAAGATCGGCAAGGGAACCAAAAAAACCACACAATTGGAACCCCAGTTGAAAAACACGTCCTCAAGCATGACAAGCTCCTGTAGTTGCATCAAACAGCGATGGTCATGTGACACGTTTGTTTTGAAGGTGGAATAATAAGAACAAACAGACTCACCTGATGTATTTGCCTTGCGAATTATTTCACCGCCAACATCCACCACATGGATCACCCTACTAACTCTGATTTGGGAAAATTTTCACAGGAGGTACGGTAAAGCAACTTGTTCCACCAAAACCTCTGCTTCAGGATGATTTAATGGACATCCCACTGCGTCAACCATCATATACTCCCTTGTAGGAATCTCCTTTGGAACGGTAACTGGAGATTTTTCTTCCGCTACCCCTGCATAATAAAATACAACAGCAGTATGTTCGGGTACACACACGATGGATAAACAAAAATGTAAATAACAAAACACATTTCAGATCGGCAAAGTTCCTTCCACAAACTTCATGGTCAATGCGTCCTGGTCAACGGCACCAATTCTGTAGTGTACTTAACCCCCAGGTTCTACGCTAATCTCACACTACAAGAACACGGAAATAAAATAAACCCGGCAACGTTTAAAAATGGCCACCCGAATGACTATTCCCTCTAAAACTAAACAAGTACCCGCTTAAATTTGAAAAGTGGCACGTGATAAAACATCTAAGGCAGGGCCCCCTTACGTTAGTTATAGATAACGCTTTGACCTGAAGCACAGTAGGGAAGGAATTTTAAATAAAACACTGAAATTGTGAGAAGTTTGTTTAATAATGATCGTAATTATTATGATTGTGAAAACCCGGAAATTTAGTTGATGTACATTAATATAAACAAAACAAACAAAGCCAAAAGGTGTCGTACTCTCGCAAAAGTCACTGCCAAGGATAAAAAGAGTACGACGTAAGAAAAACCTTGCAGTTTGATTAAAACAATCCAAAAGTTAATTAACAAAATATTTTGTAAAAGTTTTAGCAGTAGTTAACAAAGATAGTAAATGCATATACACAATGTTGGTTACACTCAAGGTTAAAGCAAGTTTTTGGGGACAATGGGTCAGGTAGAAGCAGGTACCAAGATTCTGAGAAAGGGTGAAATACACAGGATGTGACTCATCTTTGGTGCAATAAAGTCCTTTTGTTGAAAGCAAGATGGAAAATTACATGGCCTTGTAGGCAAATTTGACTAAAAACAAAATATGTGGGAATTATTGAATCGCCACTCATTTATCACACATAGATTCTAAACTGAAGAGCTTTGATTAGCGTAATCTCGCTCCTGCAAGATGGGTAGTCCGCCCCTGGTTTCGGGGTTTCGAACCTACAGTTGGATGTCGAAGACAGTGCACGGAATTAGGTGCCCTAACACATAATTATAGACTACAGTTTCTTTTTCCCCCTTCCCGAGACTGCTTCATTCACGGAGAAAATTGTTAGTAACAAACAACAAGTCAGTACATACATCAAACGAATCAGCAATTTCCACATATTAAAATAAAATGAAAACTTACATGAATGTAACTTCAGGGACAAGACCAAGTAACCAACATCAATAAACATAAATTAAGCAAACATTACACCAAAAATGTAAACAATTAAAAACAATAGCATAACGGTATCACACATATGATTGCATTGCGGTTAAACCAAGTAAATTTCAAAAACAAATATTGAAACACACAAAAAATATAAAATGCGGCAAACAAAACACAAATACGATATAAAGAAATGCAAAAATTACTACCTGCATTAAATAACACAAAATAACAACAAACATTTATGGAGCGCAACGTTCACCACCGCCATTCAAGACAAGATGCCAAACGCAACTCCCGTTCGTGCTTTCTAGGTGGCGCAGGCAGCTTTTTTTCCCACCTAGAAATTGCATGGTTGCCAACTCTCAAAAATGTGTGTATCGTCGTAAACTGTATATACAGGGTGGAACCTCTCATACTTTTTGATAGAATTTGATTTGATTTATAGCAGACATTCCATGGCATGACGGATATTGGCGGTTTTGTATTATAAAATTCCATGGCATCACAGATTATTGAAAAGATGCGGGTTTTATTTTTCCAATTTTCCGTCTTTATTATGCAAAAAATTGAAAACTAATACGGTTGATTGACGTAAAAAATTTTTTTCTACAAAAAAACCTTAATACATTTTTGCTCTAAAATAATTTGGGGAGCCAATAATCGCATGTTATGAATTTTACATTGAAATCCCTATGATGCGTGACGCAAGTCACCACCCTGTATACGCTGTATGCACAGCTGGTCAAATAGTAACACGTTTAAATCAACACGCCAGGGGTAATTGAGAGATCGTGATTGGGGCGCTTGCAGATTTAAATTCAAGAAGAGCTAGCTCATTGGACGCAACGCCCTCACTGGAATAATCTGTAAGCTGGCAGCATTTGACCAGCTGTTAGAAGATGTGCATTTTTATTAATCTATTTTTGCTATAACTTATACACATTACTGTACGAGTGCAATATTGGCCACCATTGATAATTTTACCCCTATTTCGCTTTGTAGAGTAATAATTATTATTAATAAAATAAAAAAATAATTATTGTAGCTCGAAGCGAGCTAACGCGTCGTCCAGCAACTATCTTTCTCGTCCCGAAAACTGACATTTTGTACTAATGAAACAAATAACTATTTACTAGACACTTAAAAATGAATAAAATCGTATGAAAATCACTGCTGTGGGGCGCATTAAAAAATTAACTAAAAACCCATGAAATTCTTTAAAAAATATTCGAAGAGTAAAACCACTTGCGCCATCTATCCATGAGTTGAGTAAATGAGTAAACAGTTTTCTGATTTCTGTGCCATCTGAATTTTGTTTGTGTCAACGATAGTGCATCATTCTGTGGCGAAATAATTGTTTTGGTTGGTAAGTACTTTACACTTTATTACTAGGTATATTAATATATTCAATGCATTAAATATAGATGATATGATATTTGTGATTGATTGTAATAACTTATATTTAGCAACAATTTTTTTTCTTTGGCATATATCACCTTTCACATTTTAAAACCTTGTTGGTAGTATTATACCCACGATACACTCACACCCTCAGAGTAAGAAATAAAGATAGAGTACGCGTACCCTATAACAACGTGAACGTTTGTTTTGAACCAACATCTACCGTTGAGAGGTAGAAAATAAACATTAGTCAGTGTCAGTGGCGTAGGGTTTATTTATCTTTATGGGCAACAAAGTTTATGTTTTGTTTACATGTGCAAACGTAATAACGTATCACTAAATATTTATGATCAAAAGCTGTGTGTTTGAAAGGTCCCTGTTGATCTATGATAAGGTATGGTGATACTTCAAAGTGGGAACTTAGAAGGAAATCTAAACACATTAAAATGCGAAAATTCCCGTATGCACGTCTATGACATCAAAACAAATACCGATGAAAGGTTATGTCAGGTAATTCAATAATTCCACAAGTAATACAGCTTTTCCCCATTTCAAAGCGCTCCCATAAATTAATACACCGTAATTCGAATAAGTCTTGCACTATAAAAACTCCTAAAAATTAAGGAATCACGTTTTAACGAAATAAACAAAATACCTCTCAACGGAAAACAAAGTTACAGCGTTGCCGCTGTGGTGCACTAATCACCATAACTTTTCTTGTTACGCCGTTTAATTGCAAGTTAAAATTGTTTGGGTTACTGAACCCTTATAAGCATCTAAAAATCCATTTAGATTACTCCAGATGCTTATGTTATTATTATTCCCTTAAAAACTATCTCGTGAAATGTGACAACTTAGCCTCCTGCAATGTTAGTAAACAAACGAGATGATGGCACGCATAGATAAGCATCAAGGCATCTCTATCTTTATTTCTTACTCTGAGCTCACACCACAGAAATCGCTCACACCGGTATGCTAGATCGAGCAACGAAAATTAGCCGTCTGCGCGCATGACGTCAGCTGGTTCATTTTTCTAGCGCGAATGTGTATTCTAACTAGGAAAATATAAACATTTTGAAGTTTTACGGGTCGTTTAAATAGGTGATAGTCAAGTTCACTAATGTATAATTTAAAAAGGAATACAATATCACAAACAAAGATAATACTTATATTTGATTAACAATAAATATAATACAAAAAATGGTATTAAGTATAATTACACGCAAAAGCAAATGTTGAAACCATTTCATTTAAACGTATATTGTTGACTAGTGTCTTTTTCAATGGATATGCTATAATTACAACCTTTCTTAACCGCTCTTGTGTCCTTTACCATCGCAAATAATTTACGTAACTCGCATTGGAGACTTGTCCTTGATTTGATCACAAAAATCAACAACTTTAAGGCTCGGTTTTACCACCTCTAGTCGACTGGTAGTCAACGCTTGACAAACAGTTGACCGTCACTTTGTCGTTTTACCACCTCTAGTCAAAGAAAAAAAATGGCGTTGACTAATAGTATGATTGACTAGCAGATTTTCTGGTAGTCCTAACCTCTAAAGTGTTTTGTTTGTTTGAATATTTTTTTGCGCCATTATTGTATGTGATGTTTTGCAATTTCGATTTTATTTCGAATGATGAAGAAGAAGAAATTGAAGTAGTGCCACTTCGTAGAAGGCCTAAAGTGATAAGAGAGAGAATAGACCAGTACAAATTATGGGATGAAAAGCAAATTTTTGCAAGATTTCGGTTAAAAAAGGAAATAGTATTGTTTGTTCTTAATCTTATTCGCCCTCAAATTGAAACACGTACAAACAGGTTATCTAATTTTGGATGAATCAAACACGTTCCCGTTTTTTTTCTTATTTCAGGAATCATGCAGTATCACCCTTGAACTGCTTTCTGTTGACACTCAGGTTTTTGCAACTGGATAATTCCTACTTCTGCAGGTGAAAACACTTTGCCCCGCTCTTTTACGCCCATCATATTCATTTTAATGACAAACAAACAGCAAAATTGATAAGAACACGTTTACGAATGTTAGGTTAGAACAGCGCGTACGAAATGATAATCAAAACACACGTTGAGATAAATGGCCTAAACTCTTACCTAAACTCCGTACAATTTGCGCATGCGAAAGAAACGTCAAAAGTTGCAATGTTATTAATTAAAAAGGTAGGTTAGGTTAGGTTATTGTTTTCATCACAGGCTGTTATAATGAATAAACATATATTCGTAAATCGTAATGTACATTTTAAACTCACAGACTTTTGACGTTGTTATACCAAGAGCCATGTTCCGCTGCGGCAGTATAAAATCGGAAAAGGGCAGTATAAGCCCCATGTTCACAAATCGTAATCCAAGACATTTCAAATACCTACGAATCGCTCATAAACCGGACGGCTACTACCGTGATAAAACTGGAAGGCTGATACTGGCATAAATATACAAATTTGCTTTCCTACCGCCTCCAATAAGACAGCCTGATTGTAGATGACAACCGACACAAACAGGCAGTCACGTAACTTCATTGTTCATCAACGGACCCGACACTCACCGCTAACACGAAGGAATGGGCCATCAAAACCAATCTTGGGAGCACATTATAAACTTTGTGACCTTACTGACGTTGTGTTCGGGTTTGCAATCGCACATAAACTCTGTCGGACCGCTTGCAAGGCATCTTTGTACGAAGAACTGAAACCTACAAGTAGCAAACATTAAATTGAATGCAGGGACTTGACCGTATGACGTTCACGTACGCCAACGACTTGGTGCATGGTCTTATACAGCCTGGTTTTGATGGCCCATTCCTTCGTGCTAGCGGTGAGTGTCGGGTCCGTTGATGTAATGCACGAACAATGAAGTTACGTGACGGCCTATTTAATGTGTCGGTTGTCATCTACAATCAATCGGGCTGTCTTATTGGAGGCGGTAGGAAAGCAAATTTGTATATTTATGCCAGTATCAGCGTTCCAGTTTTATCACCGTAGTAGCCGTCCGGTTTATGAGCGATTCGTAGGTATTTGGAATGTCTTGGGTTACGATTTGTGAACATGGGGCTTATACTGCTCTTTTCGGATTTTATACTGCCGCAGCGGAACATGGCTCTTGGTATAACAACGTCAAAAGTTTGTGAGTTTAAATGTACATTACGATTTACGAATATATGTTTATTCATTATAACAGCCTGTGATGAAAACAATAACCTAACCTAACCTACATTCAACATTTTAATTTAATTAATTAATTGCAACTTTGACGTTTCTTTCGCATGCGCAGATTGTACGGAGTTTAGGCCATTTATCTCAACGTAATAGCGACTACTGACTAGCACGTCAGCCAACGTGACTACAGGTTGACAAATGATTGTAAAACCGATAGAGGGTTACAACTACTAGTTGACGTTAACTAATAGTCATGTCAACTACTAGTTAACAACGGAATGGTAAAACCGAGCCTAAGACTGTTCCGTTTATACTCTTGTTGTCGCCAGGGGACAAATAATTAATACACACGCCAGTATCAGGATTTAATATTTCATTAACTACGATTTACGAAACGAACTACAATAATTGGCAGCACACACTCACAGAATGGCCGCTTCCCTCTCCCCTGCGCCATCTATCTTCCCTGGTGCCAACACTCGGGCATCCTGACTGGGCAACGCCCTCGTTGCATATTTAGCCACAGCCATGATATAAAACAAAATGAACTCTAAAACTAACAACAAGAAAAGAAATATGTATAGCTTAATATAACTGAAAATCTTTCAAATATTTGGGTTTATGTCTATTTCGTTTGCCACTTTGCACTAATTCTTCACCTCCTTCTTCACTTTGTAACTCATTTTCCACACTCACAATATTTTCTTGCGGTTCAATCACATCACTTCCATTTTCATCGCTGTCGTTGTCTGTGTCATCGGATATGTCGGTCTCTTCGTCCTCGGGTAACTTGTATACTTTCATTTGACTGACATGGGCCGTTGTTGAAAATGGCCTCCCTCCGGTCCCTGCAATTTTCTCGATTCTATAAACGTCGGCTGGAAGAGCCTCCGTAATCACAAATGGTCCTCTGTAGCGTGGTTGCATCTTCGTGCTTTCTCCCGTTGAAATTGCCACCCTTTTTACCATTACCACGTCACCCACTTTGTATTTTACTCCTACAAATCGTCTTTTATCGTGCCTGGTTTTGTATTTTGCTTGTTCGACTAGAATGTTCTCCCGAATTTCTCGTTGAACATCCTCGGGTGGTCTCCATTCAGCATCCTCCTCCTCGACTAAATTTGATAATGGTCCATCAGTAAATCGGGGTAGAAACCCATATAATGCCTCGAAAGGGGTTTTCCGTGTCACTTTATTTGGTGTAATATTTAAATTTCGCTCGACTTCGGGTATTTTAATGTCCCACTCTGTTTCATTATCCATCGCACTCATTATTACTGGCACTAACGTTTGATTGACTCGTTCTACTTGGCCGTTTGCCCGTGGCCACTGTGTAGAATTTAAAATGTGTTGAATACCGTTTCTATCGATAAAATCTTTAAATAGCTCCGAAGTGAAACAGGTACCTCGATCTGATATCAACCGTCTCGGTATACCGAATTGTGTCATAAAAAGTTCAATAGCATTCACAGTTGGTGCAGTTTTTGTGCTACTCATTGCAAACAGTTTAACAAACTTCGTTAAAGCGTCCACTATAACTAGTATATACATGTTGCCTGCGCTGCTTTTGATAAAGGGGCCCACATGATCTATATGAATCCTCGCAAAGGGTCGACTCGGCGGCGGAATTGGGTGTAACTGACCTGGCCTTTTTCCTCCCGGAATTTTGTTTATGAGACACTCGGCACACGCACTAATATGCCGTCTCACATACCGTTTTACTCGCGCAAACCAATACAGTTCCTTTATTTTCGCAACAGTTCTGTCGACACTGAAGTGCCCCAATAAATCGTGGCACTTCACGACAATACTTTTTCTCAAAGCACGCGGTATAACATACAATAACTTTTCCTCACCGTTCACGATTGTTTTTCTATACAATTTTGCACTTTTTAGTACGTATCCCTCCGTAATGGTGTTTTCTTGAGGTGTTCTCTCGGTTGGCTCTTTTTGTAGACTTGTGATTATTTTACTTAGTTTCTCATCACTTCTCTGAATCATGAGGATGTAGTCTTCCGTGTTCATTGTTTGTAGAACTTCCAGGCGCTCGTTGACTTCATCCACAGTGTCGCTCGCCTCAGTGACCGGTGCTCTCGATAGAGCGTCTGCGTGAGCCATTTTCGTACCTGGACGATAACGTAGTTCTAGATCAAACTCGGAGAGTATTCCGTACCATCTTGCTATTTGAGCATTTTGTGATTTTTGCGAATTTAAAAATACTAACGCCTGGCAATCCGTATAAACTGTGAATCTTAGACCTATAAGTAAATTTCGTAACTTCTCAATACAATATACGACAGCCATTAATTCCAATTTCGAAGAGTGGTAATTTTTCTCAACTTCCGTCGTTTTCTTACTGATGTAATACACGGGATGCATCGAATCATCCTTTTGCTTCTGCATTAAAATCCCCGAAATCCCAATGCTACACGCATCAGTATATAAAGCGGTTTCCTTCGCATTTGGGTTATAAAGTTTTAAAATTGGCTCATTAGTTAAAGCGTCTCTCAAATCTTCAAAAGCTTCGTTTTCACATTGCGTCCACTTAAACGATTCACCTTTTCGAGTTAAGTTGGACAAGGCTCGCGCACGTACCGCAAAATTTTTAACAAATCGTCTGAAATAAGAAGTCAGTCCAAGAAATCTTCGCACTTCGTGAACGTTTTTAGGTTTAGGAAACTCACTAATTGCTTTTGTTTTGTCACTTCCAGGTTTTATTCCATTCGCACTAATTATAAACCCTACATACTCCACTTCTCTCCGCCCAAAAACACATTTTCGCAATTTTAAAGTCAAATTCGCTCGAGATAACGCTTCGAATACGGCACGTAATCTCTTCATCATTTCGTCCCAATCCTTCGCAGGCACTATTATATCGTCTATGAATGACATCGCCACCTTGTTCCGTAAGTTACCTAGGGCTAAACTTACGGCACGGCTAAACTCATAAGGTCCGTTTGTTAAACCGAACATTAATCGCTCGAGCTCCCCTGTACAATCCGGCGTAATGAATGCCGTTTTGTGTTTCGAGTTTTCAGATAAGGGCAATTGTAGAAACCCGTGCGCCATGTCTAGTGTTGTAAATAACTCGTTTCCACTTAAATTTTCCACTTGTTCATCGATTGTTGCCACAGGAAAATTTGTTTTAACAGTTTGTTTATTTAATTTACGGTAGTCTACCACTAAACGCGGTTCGCCCGATTTTTTATGCACTAGTAAAACCGGACTCGCGTAGGCAGATGTTGTTTCCTTAGCAATTCCGGTTTTCTTCCACTCATCCACAATTTGAGAGATAATTTTCCTCTCTTTCATACTGGCTCGATATGGTTTGCAGCGTACTGGCACGTTGTTATCCTCGATGGTCATCTCCATTACATTTGTACAGCCTAATTCTTGTAAGTTAAATGCGAAACAATGTCGGAATTCCTTGCACAAATCCACCAATTCTGCAGTTACTTCCGGTGTTACATCTTCGTCAATATTAAGCATTTCTGCTGTAATCTCAACTGTATCTGTGTCCGTAAACAGCTCCTCCAATTCTTCTCCTTTGTTTTCTATAACTCCCACTACAGCTCCTTCGTTTATTTTTACTCGATTGTTAGTTGGATTAGCGATTGGTACCGATACGATTTCCTCGCCGCAATGGACGTCGATGTAATTAACACTGTTTGCTGCTACTTCGTTTTCCTTCACGCTTCGCAATTTCACTCGATTTGAAGTTTCCTCTACTATTTGCAAGTTCTTAAAAGGATCACTGTTTCGATTACCAAAGATTAATCGGTCACCGACCTTCGCGTATGCTATGTGCTCTAGTTCTGTGAATGACCTTCCAATGATAATGTCTAGACTCTGCACGTTATTTGGCACCACATAAAATTTAATTCTTTCCGCGGTTACATTGTCCACTTTTACATCCGTTTCTATATATTCTTCACAAATTATTGCTGCTGCATTTCCAAAACCATATAGTTCTTGACGTTCGCGTTTTACATTTTTCTTATCGACCACTGCATTTTCTTTAATTGTGCACACTGAACTGCCAGGGTCAATAAGCGCTTCTATTCTTACTCCGTTTACTTCAACTACGCGTAGGAATTTGTCGATGTTGTTACCACTAGTTGATCCCGGTGATGCAATTATGAGTTGCTGCTGCGCCTCGGTTTTGTTTCTCAAAGGGCACTGTGCATGCCTATGCCCGCTTTGTTTACACTTGAAGCAAAGCTCAACGCCTTGGGGCCTGGGGCACTTAGAAGCATAATGGCCTATTTCCGTACAATTGTAACATTTTATTGTCTGTTCGGTAGTTTTCACTTTTGTATTGTCCTGGTTCACGTCACGTTTTTGAAAACTCGCTGTTTTCCCTGAATCCGCGGTCCACTTCGCATGCCTCGGTGGTTCTCGAGGCGATTCTGCGCTGAATCCATAACCCGATACACGATAAAGCGTTATTACATCATGTAAAAAATCGTCAATGTTCGCGTGTTCTTTCACTAAAAGTCCCGGTATCACATGTTTTCGCGATAAGCCCGTTGCGATTTGCTCTTTTGTTTCCCGAAATGATAGTTTAAGTTGTGAGCACAATTTGTGTTTTTCGTGGAAATACGTCTCCACACTTTCCTTTGATTGTTGGACTCTCCTTGTCATGTGTTTCCATTTTTCTGTGAGGCTCTCTTCCATTACGAATGTTGCTCGGAATTTTGTCTCAAAGTCTGACCAGTTCTTGATCTGCGCCCGCCTCGTCCGATGCCAATCACGAGCTCCACCGTATAGGTGAATTCTAGCGGTCTCTAACTTAAATTCTTCTGGCCATTTGTGTAATAAAGCGCAACTATTTATTGTGTCGATCCATTCCTCGGCTTGTATTCCACAGCTACCCCCGAAGTCTCCGATCGTTTTGTTTAAATCTGGCATAATATGGTAAACGTTGTCCCTTGGTCCCGTGTGTAATGCTTGCGCCTGTGCTTGGTTATTCCCCATTACTGATAGTAGCTGGGTCATAGTCGCCATTTGTTGGATCATTAATTGCGTTAAGTCAGGGTTACTGGAATCTGGGAATACAGTATTTATACTCTCGTTAACCGCATTTTCCCCACGTGATCCCGTCACTTGTCCCAACTCTTCCACATACGCGTCCTCGTTGTCACCATCACCCGCCATCTTCTTTTCTTTTTCTCGCAATCACACAGCAAAAGCGAAAGAAAATTTCACGATTTCTAGAGACGTTCTTGAGTTATAATTATTCCACTTCTGATAATGTTGTCGCCAGGGGACAAATAATTAATACACACGCCAGTATCAGGATTTAATATTTCATTAACTACGATTTACGAAACGAACTACAATAATTGGCCAGCACACACTCTCACAGAATCGCCGCTTCCCTCTCCCCTGCGCCATCTATCTTCCCTGGTGCCAACACTCTTGATATTGATACGTAAACGCAAAACATACACAGATCTCGAATTATTTTACTCTGTAATTAGTGCTTAATTGCTTATTAAATTTCTTCCGCGCACAAATGCTTCTATTTATAGGATTATTATTAGCAAATTAACGTTATTCCAGTGCCCTATAATGTCGTATCCGCATAAGTCTTTCACTACATAATATCCAACAATACCTAAATTGTAGAAAACTCTGTTGTTATTTCGCAGAAACTAAAAGATAAAACGAAATTCCCGCTCTGAAGATTTGTGACCCAGCTGACGTCACAGATGCGCACTGGCATACCGGTGTGTGTGTATTGTGATATACCTATTACTATTACTATCTCTTTGCAGTTGAGCCACATGTCACTGAGTAAGCGGCTGAAGATGGATTCTACTGCATCCTGTTCATCTGATCCTATCACTCAAGTAAGCACTGAAGCTCAGGATGCATCAGGAGATAGTGATAGAACTACACACATTCAAAAAGTAAGTTCTTCATAATAATCATATATTACCGGTAGTAATTTTAATCATTCTGTTTTTATTACAGAAGGAAACAGGACTTATCTTTGATGAAAATGAGAGTAATTTCAGAGAAGCTGTTAGGTGGATAGGGTGGGTTGACAAAAGCCTTTTTATCGCCGAATTGCTGAAGAAGCCACGTCGTGTGATTATTTTTGCGCCCAAGCGTTTTGGCAAGTCTCTGAATATAGACATGGTCAAGTGCTTCTTCGAAATTGTAGCTGGTCGAGACATAAGCTATGCACCTAAGAATTTAGAAGAACTGAAAGAATACGAAAATTTTAAAGCATTTTGCAGATATGGACTGTCACCACCATGTAAGATAATAAAGGAAGAAGAACTTGTTAAAGAATACTTTGGGAGACACCCAGTTGTGCATCTGGACTTAAAAGACCTTGATTGCACTTCCAAAGAAACTGTAAAGGATGGTCTCAGAGGCATTGTACATGATCTCTATGTGAATTTTTCATACCTGATGAGGGAAGAACATTTAGCTGACTCACCAAGAAAATTAAAAGCAGCATATGAAGATTGTGAAGCATGGTGTGGTAAGAATACATACATGAGAGAGGATCCAACCATAGGTTTGCAAAAATTGATTGAATATTTACATGCTCACCATAAACAGAAAGTGTACCTGTTGGTTGATGAGTTTGATGCTCCTGCTGTGAACGCCCTGTTGGCTGGTAAAAGTGGAGGTGAAGTAAAAGATATCAGCAATATAGTAATGTCCCTGCTTGGTGCAGTTGTGAAAGGAAAAGTGGCCGATAATCATCTCTTGGGATCACTAATTACGGGGGTGTCATATCTGGGAAGCATTGGTATTTCTCAGCATCTTAACAACATACCATTTTACAAATGGTTACTAGATGATGATCGGTTTGCTAAATATTATGGTGTTGGGCATGAAGAGCTTACTACGCTTCTTGAAAGTGTGTTCCCTGAGCAAAAAGAGAAACAAGCTTCTATCCAACGAGAGGTATTGGGTCTCTACAATGGATACTATATTAAAACTGAAGCTGTGTGCTGTTTATGGTCTGTTTTGCACTACATTCGACTTCGTGTGGAACTGAACGCTTCTGAGATCAGAAAGACCAATTTTTGGGAGTTCTAGCATAATTAGTGCACTTGGTAAAGTTCTTAAAAATGATGATGTAATGGAAACAATGGTTCATGTAACAACAGGGGGAAATTTCTCTTTTATGTCCTGTGATAAGTTGGATGCCAAGGATCTTGCTGACTTTTTAAATGGTGAAAACAATCAAGAACAACTTGTCTACTCATTTTTCATGGAACAAGGGTATCTCTCCATTGATCCAAGCCATCGTTCTAGCAGATCTGTTAAAGTGAAAGCTCCAAATCCTGAAGTCCTTACTGCGTATCTAGAGATGTTTAGTAATTTCCATGTGAAAGTTTGTGGATTTAGTAACTTGTCAATGCATAAATGTGCAGAATATTTTGAGTCACTACCTGATAAATCTGCAGATGAACAGGAAGAGAGTTTAAGTGTTTTCTATGAGGAGTTGAAAAAACTTTTGTCAAAGTTCCGCGGACAAAAGGTGAAGGAACGATCAATACAATCTCTTATGTTTGTTACCATGCTCAAAGCAGACTTCAAATATTGCGAGATGGAGAAACCTGTTACAATTCAGATGGATGGTAAGAAAGTAACGGGATTTATCGACCTGTTCATGGAAAATGATGATTGTGTAGTTATTTGGGAGTTCAAGCATATTGAGGCTGATGATCTTCAAGCAATCAAGGATTCTTCTTATGAGGCTTTGAAAGAAATCCTTTTCGGCAGCCAAGCCAAAAAAGTGCCCTATATTAATAAAATGGAGGAAGTAAAAACAAAAAATTACATTCTCATTGGACTCTGCGGTGGTGATAAAGGTAAAGCAGCAATGTCGTGCTTAATAAATAACAAAGACATCAATAACTGTATCTCTTTTCCATAACTTAATGACATCAGTTTTGCCATTGATGTGTATATATAAAAACAGTATGTTGCTATTTGTAAGTTTATTTCATCTGTTCAATAAATGCTCTTTTTGCTCTCTTTTTCTTATTAATTTTGGTGCGTAGAATCCAAAACAATTCGTACTTTTTCGATCAGACTTCTCAATCAAAAGTTATAGACTAGAAACCAATTTGGAAAGAAAATTCAAAGGGCTGTAACTTTTGAACTAGTAGCCCAATCTTGGAACTGTTTGAAATTATGGATTCTACAGGCCACATTCTATAAGAAAATTTTTTTTCCGGGTCGATCTGAGACAATTTTTTTTTCGGGCCACAAAAAAAGGCAGTGTATAACCTTCCTTTTTTACCAAAAATCGACTACACCAAAATTTCTCGGGAAAACACTTTTTCTTATTAATTTTGGTGCGTAGAATCCAAAATTTCAATTCGTACTTTTTCGATCAGACTTCTCAATCAAAAGTTATAGACTAGAAACCAATTTCGAAAGAAAATTCAAAGAGCTGTAACTTTTGAACTAGTAGCCCAATCTTGGAACTGTTTGAAATTATGGATTCTACAGGCCACATTCTATAAGAAAAATGTTTTTCCAGGTCGATCTAAGACAATTTTTTTTTCGCGCCTCCAAAAAAGGCAGTGTATAACCTTCCTTTTTTACCAAAAATTGACTGCACCAAAATTTCTCAGGAAAACACTTTTTCTTATTAATTTAGGCCCGTAGAATACAAAACGATTCGTACTATTTCGATTAGACCTCTCAATCAAGTTTCGGCAAAAAACCAAATTCAACAAAAATGCAAGGGGCTGTAACTTTTGAAGTAGCCTAATCTGTTTGCTTTAAAATTTCGGGTTCTAATATTAATGACAAAAACTACCTTTCCAGAAATAAAAAAGAACTATTTTAAATATTTTATTTGAAAATAGCATTAACTTTTTAATACTTTTTAGACATGTCTATATACAGTTGAAAACAAACAATAGGATATACCTCTTAAGAAAGAAACAATGTGATAAGTTAGCGCAGAATAAAAAGTAATGTTGGTGCACCAAGAGATACACGTAAATGTTTTCACAAGTAACGTTTACTCAAGAAGGCCACAAAAATCACATTCAACAAACTAACAAATGTTGCAGTTTTATCGAAACCACATAAAATAACTTATACTAAGGAAAGAGGTTTAAAATATTGCCGACAGTACGAACTGCCAAGACTTAAAGGACGGTCTTGGGGTCTGTAAAGTTTACTGTTTCGTTCAGGGAGACGTGAAAACGCCAGCGCATATTCTTTATCGAAAGCATTTAAGTCAATATTGGAACGACCCAATGCCTTGCACGCTAGAAATAGTATGTCTCTGTATATCGAGTGTGTTCGGTCGATACCTCGCACTTTTTGGATTTTTTGTCGTTCCATTCCTAGCCTTTTCAGAGGTTCCAATAGATCATTACTGTGTACACCTAACAAAATGCTTTGCATTACCCTGTGGAAATGTAAACGGTAAATAGGAGCTCCTATTGGTTGAAAGAACTTACGGTCTGCTAATCGTCGTTTGATCAGTTAAAGCACTGACAAGTGGACTAGACATTTCGCGACGTTGATAAAGAATATACATTGGAGGGCCTTCGGCATGTAGACGAGGATTGTCCCAAACACATAACACTGTAACTTGAGCAGATAAGTGTTCTAAAACAAATTCAGTCATATAATCACGAAACTGGAAAAGCTACTGAGATTATTGCCAATTACTTACGTAATACATCCTTACCTGCTGCTTTGTACATAGATGTATTATATAATTAATTTATTTAAAAAGTAGGTGCTTACCAACTGTAGCCAAATCTTGAGTAAGTGGATCTGCACCTTCCTCAACGGGTTGCATACAGCTTGCGCCATCATCTGCAGCTTCGTCTGTAGTGTCATCGATGGATTCGACATCATCTCCACTCTGTTGCTCAATCTTGTTGATACTGTTCAAGTGATCTTTACGATTTTTAAGGTACAGATTAGGCAAATGGCTTTGAACATTAATACGTTCAAAGCTCCAAACAAGATTCCAGTATATTATCGGATGTTGCTCAACAAATTTCGCGTCGGCCAAACTCAAATCTCCCTCTAGACTCAGAATGTTTTCTAACTCCTTTCTTAAAACTAACGGATTTAGATAGGGAACACTAAACGGTTCACCACTGATCATTTCAGCTTGCTTAATCGATATTGTCAAAAGAGGAACTGTGGGCTTTCTGCAACTATGACAAAGAGTATTTAAATTCGAATCCTCGGCGGACCAATTGGACATGATGTCTTCGTCATAAAGTAGCACTGAGCAATTGTGACATTGAGAACACGAAACTAAAGTGATTTCAAGCTCGCCATCTACAAGCATTTATATGTAATTAGGAGTTCTGAAATTCTTAAAAGTTACCCATAGGGACATCAGTGAACGGAGGGTATAAATTTTCAGGAAGGCTGTCATCGGAATCTCGCAAATTGGCAGTACTGCCTCTGTAGCTGCCGAGCTCGGCAGATATCCTTCGATGTCTTTCTCCTCCGTCGCTGCCATCTGTTGACTCGCAATCGCCAGAAGCATCATTCGGTTCACCAGCGCCAAGCCGATCACCGGATACTGCTTTAACAGGAGTTGAGGTCGTCGATGTGGAAATCGCTTCTTTGATTTCATCTAATTTTTTCGCAACCGTTGTCGCGGCTGACTTCAAACTGCTTATGCCGCCTTGTATTAATTCGTTTGACTTCTTTCCTGTTAAGCTACTGGGGCTATAAAGGAATTAAAAAATTGACAACATGTGAATACATGTTGGTATTGTGAATATGACGTGCATTGTGTTATACATTGTAACTTACATTCCAAGCAATATTTTTTATATGGTAGAGTTGAGGGCTTACAAGAGAGGTTATGGTTCCCTATATCTAATTACTTTCAAATATTATTTTTTAAATTCACAAATAGTGAAGTGCAAACGATTAGGTATGTATGCAAATCAAGTTTTTCTTATTTTGAGGCAGTCGTAGATACTCCCCATACGGCGACGTTAGCAAAATAATCCTCAATATACACTATGTTCCTCATGGTCAAATTCTGGCAATATCATAATTCATAACCTAGAAGGCTATGGAAGTTCGGAAGACAGAAAATGACGCCATCTTTATTCGTGTAGCGTGAGGTGGTAAATTTTAACGTCACATTACCCCAAATGTATTATGGTTTACACTATGATGCGACAACGAACAATAAATAAAAATCGCAACACCTACCTGAGATTACTGAGTGCGTTTTCAATGATCTGTTGCGGCATTTTCAGGTCTGCTTTACGCAACGACAGCCGTGCTGGTGAGTAGCGGCTAAAACAACACATCTAGCACTACTACTAATTCATGCATTTCAAGCCATATCAACACAAAATCACACTTGCAAAATTAAACTTAACACTACACTACATCATGCCAAAAATAATCATTTTGGAATAAAGTAGTTGGTCTATCCAATCAGTATTATTTATGGGTAAAATCACACGTGCGACAGTGGAGTACTTACCTAAAACCCATTTTTAAACTTGACCCAATTCCCGCCAGACTCGAGGCGATACTGGCAGCCGGCATTGTTTCGGACCGATGCAGTTTATTTTGAGTGGGAGGACTACCCTCAAATGTCGCAGATCTTTGCACTGACGAACGAAATAGGACTGGATCGTCTGTGTGGACCGAAGTGCGGTTTACGTGCACAACTTCAACGGTAGGCAAGCATTTGGTTTCTTCTTCAATCGGTTGCTCAAGTGCACCGAGTGGATCATTCTCAGTTACGGGAGTGCGAGGAGAAATCCTAATTTGAGAGGATTATAAATGGATATCAATGGTATTCTGCAACAGTACTATCATTTCTTCCTTTTCGTAATAGATCAATGTAACCTATCATATCAAAAAATCTACAAATATAAGTCCGGCATGTTTTTTTCGAGAAAAATTAACATTTAACAACAGGAAGATATGAAGTCGGCAGTGTTGCAAGATCAATCATAAGGTAACAAAATTACTTAGTTGGTGTTGTTTTGGACGGATCATCCACCTCTTCATCATCAAAATGCAATGCCCGCGAACAATTTTTCCTAGACGTTTGTTGTAATTTA